TTGCTTCTTCCTCAAAGAAGCAGCAAAGTGCTGCATGCAATTTTGCTGCTGCACCTGACAGTATGCAGCAGCGTCTCCCTGCTGTTGCTGCTGCTGCTGCTGCTGCTGCTGCAGTATTAGCAGCAGCATTAGGAGCAGCAGCACCAGGAGCAGCAGGAGCAGCAGCAGCATAAGGTACACCTAAACAATTTAAATAAGATAGCCAATCTAGATGCATGCATGCAGCTGAGGTGTACGTACACCCCACAGGACACCAACGATGTATTTCTTTATTTGCTGCTGCGCTGCTGCCATCCTCTACCTGCATATACACCCGAAATATACATGCATGCATGCATGCAGCAGCAGCAAGAGTAGTAGTAGTAGCAGCAGCAATAGCAGCAGCAGAAGCAATAGTAACAGCAGCTGCAAAAGGAGCAGACACAGCAGCAGCAGCAGCAGCAGCAACTGCAGCAGCAGCAGCAGGAGGAGGAGGTGTATACCATAGGGTCTAATCCATTAGGTAGCTGCAGCAGCAGCTGCTGCAGTTGCTGCTGCAGTTGCTGCTTCTTTGCTGCAGCAAGACGACAAATAGAATTAAATCCTCCTGTCTGCAGCAAATAAAAAAAGGAGACACTTTGTCTCCTTTTAATTCCCTAAACCCTAAACCCTAAACCCTAAAACCCTAAACCCTCAAACCCTAAACCCTCAAACCCTAAACCCTAAACCCTTATTTAAATGATGTCTCCTTCTTGCTGCTGCCATACCTCTTTTTCTTCTAACTCCTCCAAAGACGAATCCCCTTGCTGCTGCTGCTGCTGCTGCTGCTGTTCTTGCTGCTGCTGCTGTTGTTGCTGCTGCCGTTGCTGCTGCTGCTGCTGCTGCTGCTGCTGCTGCTGCTGCTGCTGTATCCTTGCCTTCTCTCTGCGTTGTCTCATCAATTCAATTTCTTCTCCAGTAGCAGCGCGAAAACGACGAACCAAATCTGCAAAACCCTAAACCCTAAACCCTAAACCCTAAGCCCTAAACCCTAAATCCTAAACCCTAAACCCTAAACCCTAAACCCTAGATAAATTAATAAAGGGATTTAAATATATTATTATTATTATTATTATTATTATTATTATTATTATTATTATTATTATTATTATTATTTACCTGGTAGGGCCTCAAGGGCCTCTAGTGTCTCCTTGGGGGCCCCCCTTCTTATTAGAGTCTCCTTTATTTCTTTATGATTAATAAGGAGACAATTTGTATCCATTGGTTGGATAAAAGGAATTGTGGCTGCTGCTGCTGCTGCTGCTGCTGCTGTTGCTGCTGCTGCTGTTGCTGCTGCTGTTTGTCCTCCTCCTGCTGCTGCTACTGTTGTTGCGCCTGCTGCCTGTTCTGTTGCTGTTGCATCTGCTGCTGCTGTGTCTGCTGCTGGGACTGTTGCTCTTAGCAGCTGCTGCGCAGACGTGTGGTGTATGCTGCTGCAGCATGACACATGCTGCTGCTGCTGCTGCTGCAGCTGCAGCTGCTGCTGCAGCGTTTGTTTTATTGAGTATAAGTTGGAGGGTTTATAGGCATACACGAAGGCACTAAGGGGGCCCCCATGCATTAAGGGGGCCCCTGTACCCTTTTGGGGGCCCCCTAAGACACGGCTAGGGTTTACACCCGACAGTTGAACTGCTGCGCTGCCGCTAGGCAGCAGCAGCAACTGCAGCAGCAGCAGCAAGAGCAGCAACTCCAGCAGCAGCAGCAGCAGCAGCAACGGACGATAAAAAGGGAAGCCCTGAGGGGCCCCTCTAAAGGGAACGCCGCGCATGCAGAGTGCTGCGAGGGTTTTGGGGTGTATCGACAGCTCAAGGAGGGACCATCAAACCCTAAACCCTAAACCCTAAACCCTAAACCCTAAACCCTCGGCATGAGTATATTGCTGATCATTATAAATAAATAAATAAATAATTATAAATAAAACAAAACAATAAAAAAGGTAAAACACTGATAGAATTTCCCTTAGTCCTGCTGGGGGGCCCCTTTGGGGGCCCCCCTACGGGGGCCCCCCTATGGTCATGGTGCTCGTTAGGGTTTATTCTTTTTGTTAATCTTTTAACTTAATTAATTAATTAATTAATTTATTTATTTATTATTTAAATAATTAAATATAAAAAAGAATAAAATAATTAGGGTTTAGGGTTTAGGGTTTAGCTTGCCAATTGTATATATTATATATTATATATATACACACATGGAGGTTCTTTATAAACCCTAAACCCTAAACCCTAATTCTAAACCCTAAACCCTAATTCTAAACCCTAAACCCTTAAATAGTAGTCGATACTCCTCCTTTATATACTAACGTAAATGCAATATTTGGGGTGTACAGGCACCTCCCTTACCTAAGGAGACACTTTTATTGTTTTCTTTGTCTCTTTTTAATTGATTTAATTAATTAATTAATTAATTAATTAATTTTTCTTCTTTTTTTTTTCTTTATCTGTCTCCTCTCTCTCTCTCTCTCTCTCTCTGTATATATATA